TTTTATTATTTATATATCTTCCATTTTGTCTCTTTTATTTTTTTGTTGTTTTTTTCATCTACCCCCCCGCTGCCCGCTTCCCCCCCCCCCCCCCCCCCCCCCCCCCTAATAGATTTTTGTATGCCATTAAGTATCCCAACGTACAACAGACAACAGACCTTGCGCCAACCATGCTTATCCTAATCTTCGTCTCGGTCGTCATGATGCTATGTATATCGATACAGTAGTGATTAGGGATGTAGGTGGATGTGATATATACGGGCGCGATCAGCTCTAATGGCTATACTCCATGCGCTTCCTGTCGTCCTCGGTAGGATCATCTGAAATCCATATTCCCTTCTCTTCCTCTGTGGCGTTGAGGAAGCCGTTGGCTCGCTTCAGCGTCTGGACGTCGAGGTCTGTTACGTATGACTTTTCGTCGGAAAGCCTTAGGCGGATCTCGTGCTCTGTCGAAAGCATCATGTCGTCTTTAGCTAGTCGGCGGGGGCCGTCGAATACTGTCATGACCCGCTTCTTCATGGTCATCTGGCCCTTATCAAAGCCCCATGAAGATGGGTATTCGCGTCGGTTCTTGCGGCTCTTGCTCTTGCCCGATAGCTGTACGCCGCCTCGCGAATGTGTCATGCCCCGTGACTTTTGAACACCGTTGGGCGGGTTCCCCTTCTTCCTTGTTGTGGGAGAGGTCAACTTCCTCGGCTTGTGTTCATCATCCCCGGCCTCGTCATCTTCAGCCATATCCTCATCCTCCTCGTCATCGGAGTTAGGGACGCTTTGTGTGGTGAGAGGCAGTTGGTTTTTCTCAAGCGTTTGGTGAACCTCCTCATCATGTTCCACCTCGGCCAACCGCTTTGCGTTGATGGCCTCTGCGGGGTCTTCTTGCTGGACGATGCGCAAGACACAATCGTCCAAATGTTCATAGAAGTCCTGGGCATTCTCGAACGTGGCTGAGCACGTCGAGCACTTGCCTGTGGCATCTGGCGCATAGCCAGTTAACTTCTTGCCGCTGTTCACCGAGTTTGCTGCCTTCTTCCTGCTGTTAGGGGCGGTCTGCTCGACGCCATGTACAGAGGTCAGATGCCGCTTAAAGACATCAGCCCGGTTGAAGGACTTCTCGGCGGCCGAGCCTGACCCAGGACAAAATCCGCATACCATGGTACCCTTGTAATGGGTCAAAGTATGTCGGTTCTTGTCATATTTCCGCGCGAAACCCTTGACGTGGTAATCACATGTTTGAATAGGGCACTTCTCTGGCCTCTCATTCTGGTGGGTCAACATGTGCGCCTTAAGGTCTTTAAAGACCTTCCCACAGTCTGGGTGTGGGCATCTTTGCTTCTTCTCCGATTCGTCGCTGTTGTACGCGTACTCGTGCGACCCGTGTGATTGGTAAGATGATAGAGACTGTCGCCTAGCCGGCGCAGCAGGGGGTGCCTGGAAAGGGCTGTATTGCTGAAAGGCGTGCATGTAGGGAGACTGGCTGCCGTTGCGCATGGCTGGCGCAGGTGAGGCAGTACCAGAGAGAGCAGGAGAGTTAGGATAAGGGTTTTGAGGGGAGAAGTTGTCGTACCCCTGCATCGGTGGGGCCATCGTTCCGCGTATTAGTGAAGGATCTGTAGAATGGGCTTCTTGGTCAGCGCATCGTGGTCTTCATAGTAACTTGTAAGTGTTGTGTAATTCAATATTCAGTCAAACGAAATCAACATATCCCATATCCCATATCCCATATCCCATCTCCCTCTATCTTCGACTCCGAAACGACGGCGCCTTACGAGACCAACACCAAGCTCAATTCACATGCAACGCCGAGAAAGGCTACGGTTGGGGACAAATAAGAAATCATTAAAAATAAGACCCGCGCCAACTCACCAATAGCCTTATTGTCAACAAAAGCCATGTTAAATTCATCCATACCTGGATAGGTAGAGTACTCCGTTCCTGTAAAGTAGTTGCTCGAGTCGACAATTCCCGGGTTCACACCGAGACCACTCTGCTGGTACTCGGGGAAGAAAGCTAATTGGCCGTGGTTTGAGTTAGGCGACCCGACAGTTGAAGACGCCGTTTCTGAGGGAGCCGAAGCAGTTGAGAGGCTTGAGGCTGGCATCTCGTAATCATCTGGGAACATACTAGGGGAAGCTCTGTTGTGGTTATTGCTGTACATGAGATGCGTTTCCGGGTATATGGAGCCAGCTTCGTATCCTGAAACTGGACGGTAGTCTTCCTGGACGCTCCGGGGAATGTTAAAAGCGCCTGGACTCATGTGCATCTCCAGTGTCGGCGAAGTGTAGCCCGTCTGGGGGTGGGCTTCGGGGTAAAGCCTGAAATCGTGCTCGTGTCGAGGGAACATATCGTAAGCTTGGTCGCCAACCATGGCCATTATAATTTTACGTTGCCGGCGATTCCGGGGACAGATTGGTGGTGAATTGTAAGAAGAATCCCGGCCGGTATGCTCACGCTAACCGTCTCCCCTCGCGTCAGTGTCTCGGTCGGGACACAGGATATGACTACAGTTTGTGCAGTGAAATAAAAGCTCACATTCGTCTGGAATTATACCATATCAAGACCCGATAAGATCTATATGGAACCGAGTATCGACTTAGTTGAGCTGGTAATGTGACGTTCGAAAGGAGTGTCACTAAGACGGCCGGTGGAGTAATGAGATTTATATAAGTCGCAAAGCTTGGGCAATGGTCGAGGTGAGTTGTCGCGCCACACGAATTCGTGATGCCTTCTTCTTCCAATCCTATAGCTCTTCTAACATACGACCTCACACGATGAGGCTATGGATGGCGATGACTTGGGAAGGGTCCTCGTGTCGAACACGACAAGCACGGGTATGAACAGAGTCTATTATATATATTGCTCTAAGCGGCCAGTAACCACGATGGTAAGATGGGAGGGTAGAGCGGTAGTGTTAAGTAGTTTAGCATGGTCCGAGGTCATAGAGATGGGGACAGCAGGAATCGGTAATGCTTTGGGGGCTTCTTATTCTATATACACTACACACTTGCGCGCACAGCCGCGCTTTTCTCTCAGGGTACGTAGATCTCCATGCTGCCCATTTGAGATGTGGGTTGATAGGGCAGAGAAGGGCAGAATCCGCGGCAGCGGTGAGAACAGGGATTACAAAAGTCGATCCAGAGCCTTATTTGGGTCATACCGTGTCAAACTCCAACTCATACTCGGTACGTACATGATTTCGACCCCCCATAGGCCATAGGGTCACCTTGCTAGCGTCTCTTCCATTCTTAGGCGAGGCCGTCAGCAAGTAGCGTGGGTGAAGGACCTAGGTGGGTACAATTAGTATCCCGCCCGTCAATAATTCCAAGAGACGAATGATAAGTTGGCCCGTGGAGTTGTTTTGCTTTGAGGCGGCCCCCGTTATTGGTGTTATTGGTAGAGCATCACACACCTAATGCTGTGCTAAGGCTAAGTACCAACACCCAGTACCTAGAGTACCTAGAGTACCTAGAGTACCAGAATACCAGAATACCTACGTAGGCCTGTTCTTTTTTGCAAAGAGGTAGGGTGGGGACGGTAGACTCCCCAATAGACCCCTGGCACCCACGATTTACAAAGTACACGGCATAATCTGTCTTCCCATCTGTTGTCAATCGTTGTTTTCAGTCGCCAAAGGTCCCGTCAATCGAGCAGACACCTGATTTGTACTAGTGTCATGTCCTTTTATCTTAGCATAGGCGTGATATAGTATATGTTGTATACGGTACAAGAGAGCAGTCCCCGTTACATATGTACTCATCTCCCCCTGCTACCGTGCTAAGTCCCAGGAGATGCATGTCTGGGAGCCCTGCCGGTCATCTCTAATTGGCATCGTTAGATCACTGGAACTCATCTTCACGACAAGCATAGTCGTTTGTTTACATTATTTCTACGGAAACGACGGATACCCATGGGATATAAGCAGCGAGGACAATTAATTACAGTTAGAGCCGAGAAGAACTGTCCTTGCTTAGTATGGATATTCCCCGTAGTCTCGATGGTGTAAGTGCAGTACCTAGTTAAGAAACAGGGTTTGTTGCCAGTATAAGGTTCTAGGATCCTGAAATGTTATTTTTCCTTTTTCTCATTTCCCTTTTCTTTTTAATTTGACGAATAGAACCCCGGGAACGCTCTAGGGCTCCTAGGAGGAACAGAGCCAGAACCAGAACCCGAAAAACGAGAACTAGATCAAGCAATGGAAACGGGACATCTAGAATTAACCTATCGATAGTAATGTCTCATATCTACTTCAGTAAATGTATGCTACACTATGTAGGTATGCTTACCACGCGCACCACTATCTTCCTTAGCTCCCTAGGCTATGCTCCAGGTTAGAGTATCTTGTCGGGGTATTCTGAATCTAGTAATAGGAGACGAGAAATATGTCTCAAGAACGCCTAATAGCGGGTCCAGAAAACGGTAGCGTTGGTGCAGAACGGCAGACCGAACGATGGCTAAGGCGGAGGACAGGGGGCGCTAGATAGCAAAGAGTTAAAGAGGCTTCGCGCCGTTATGTCCCCGCCGACGTAAGAGAGTCAATCATATTGCTTATATCATCGTCAACTTATTATTATTTACATTAGGTAGTGTGGAGGTTTCAAACGTCCGATGATCGATCGTATCTATGTAATTGTACCTACATCAGTCTGCATATCAGTCTATATTGTAGATAGTACGTGAAGAGTAGTACCGTACATCGTATATGGAACGTCATCTTTCGGGCTTTGCACAATTTACACAGCCATGCATAGGTACATATATGTATATCTCCGGTGCGGTAATGTAAGCACTGCCCCCCCTTTTCCTGGCCTCTGCGGCAGGATGCACGTGTCATACTGCGACCAGCCCATAGTGTTGTGAAGTCAGGCAGGTAATAATGCCATTATAAAATCTGATTGGCGATTTTGTCATTTCCACTGCTTTTCTCACTCTGCACACAGCAACACCATTAATATATGCATCTTCCGTTTTGAAGCGGCGGTATGTCCAAAACGAGCCGGCCAGCTACCTTGGTGACAGTTTCACTTCGCACATGTCCGGACGAGTGAAGCGGTCAATATCTTTGTAAGCAGCTGGTAGCATTTGGTAGTATTTCGGACGAAGAGTTGCAATGCAAGGGGATGTAAGACTTGCATAGAGCACCGTGAGCCGCAAACCTCATAAAGCTCCTAAGTTCCTAGAGTCCCAAGTTTCCAAGTTTCCAAGTTTCTAAGCTTCCGAGCGTAAGAAAAAGAAAAGACGTAACATCGTAGCTTAAAACGGCCTTTAAAACTTATATCACCTGGGATTATACTGAACTATACTTTATGCTTCTTGTCTCAGATTCAACAATTTCACAGCGGCTTTCCGTGAAGATTGCTGCCCATAACAAGATTTGTAGGTAGCATTTACGCCTTAGTTAGGAAAGTTTCTAGAGCGTTTAGAAAGACAACCCCATTTATGAGTCCGAACAAAGATCATTCATTGGCCTTTTGGCAAATTAGGTACATGTGTGTCTGAGATGGGATTTGAACGATGGCAACTCGAACAATAAGCAATGATTGGTCAGAATACGTCGCGCACAGTACAAGCTATGTGACCTAACCTACTTTTGTCGCGATCTAAAAAAAGAAGCTCGAAGGGAGTACAAAAGTTCCACTTCGGAATAGAGGTACATAAGTGTGGCAAGTAGAACGGTGCTACCTTAGGGTATGTAGAGGGGAAATAAGAAAAAGAAACATATGACAATATGATATATATCATACATACATATAGACCTATAGACAGCCATGGTATAGGCCGAATTAATAGGCGAAAACATTGATATCATAGTCCGTCTCAGGTAAATCTATCCGTCTGCTCCTTGACTAAAATGGTCGAGTAGAGAAATCCTTCCCAAGCAAACACACTACAACAGTACGCCCATATGCCAATATGCCAATAGGCTGTTGTGATAGAGCATATGTGCTACTACGACAGAGGCGCGTTACATACATAGGTACCTAATACACCATACTAGATCTATGTACATTAGGTACTCAACAGGGTAAAGCGCGCCGTTCGCATTTACACAATAGTCTTCAGGTCATCTACACCGTCCGACTTTAAGACGGCGCTTTTAAAAACGTCATGTCGTGTTGCAATATGCATTTGCCTCCTCCATGTGTGATACACGCGATATAATGCCACGTGAAAATCCGAAGGATCGCCTCGTGACGGATGCGCATTGCATGAATTCTGCTTACTCCACCTCCTCAAGCCATGAACGATATGATCTTCCCGACGTGCGGTTGGGCTGTCAATTCTCATACCCTCCTGCCGTCCTGCCGTCCTGCCGTTCTGCCGTCCTACGGTAACATAACAGTAATAAGAGTCTAACAGCGCCAAGGGCTAGGATGTCACCAGGGATTGTTCGCAAACAATTGACTCAATATCTATCTAGAACACCAAGGTCGGAGTACCGGCGCGAGGCTTCATAGCCTTTACCGAGCCAGATAATGAAGCATTCTTCATAAAGTCGGAAATCATCTAATAATAAAACGATACCTACCCCTATCATAAAGGGTTGAGCATCATTGGCGAAACCCAGCCCAGAAACGTATAATTGTTTAACAAGAGCGCCTACCAGTCATGCATTAGGTACCTTTCACGATAATTATCCTAACTGGATTTAGTTAAAGTTCTCATCTAATCATGACCCCGATTAATGGCGGAGGATGAGATGATCGTGACGATGATGCGATTAGCATAAGGCACTCAGCCCTATAAGAGGGTCAATGAGAAAAACCTCGATTAACGACAGTTCAACGCCTCTCAAATGTAAGCAAATTCACAGCCACCTCCATAAAATAGAAGATTGATCTACGTTTCTTGGCCAGACCTCCATACCAAAGGAACGATAATCGAATGTTCGACGAATATTCCAATTTAGGCAGCATCGTCTTCCGTGTGCCATCCATTGCCATGCAAAACCCGGCGCCTCTACACCACAAGTACCAGATGTAAGCACGTATTTGATGCGCCAACTCATCACTGACCAGGTCTAACAGCCCTTTCATTCAAAACAGCAGATGTTCAAGCAGGTTGATTGGTTCTACCGTTCAAGACTGTCCTGCGAAAGAAAGGAGAGCCTGTTTCGACGCGGCCATTAGAAGTTGGAGAAGATGGGGGCCAACGCCTACATGTCCTGATGTCCCAGTTATCCCTGGCGCCCACATGGAATATGTTACACGGCGGCATATTAATCCCTCCGGTTCAGGGGTAGAAATGTAAGCCCTAACTACATAATAGATCAGAAGGAATCGATCCGTTCCTGCAATCCTACACAACTGAGCAGAACTCGTGTCTCGTTTTTAAGATACCCCTGTCGAAGACCAAATCCTTCGAAGGACTGCAGGACTTGTGGGTGTTACCATAGTACGTAGTTGTCTGACACAATACCGCGCAACACGGATGTCAGCAATTTCTGATTGGAAAATCTGCAACTAAATTCCATGCATAATTGTTACAATAACTATTAAGTGTGCAACCTACGTTCCTAAAAATAGGTCTTCTTTTCTCTGTCTCTAGTGTTACAGCGAAAACACGTGAAAATATGAGCGACTAGTGGCGCATATAGCTTTTCGGCAAGTGTGCTATTACCGTTTATTTTTTTGATATAGTTGCTTCATTAACTTTTTGAAAAGCTGAGGAATACTAACAGAATAGTTAGAAAACTCTACCGCAGTTCTGGGGCATAGGGCTGAGCTGTCGTAACAAGGTGCCGGTCCTAATGCCATTCGTGATCCCCGCCGTATCCATGTAATTATCTGGCTTATTATGCTCTGTTTGTCCAATCGCAAGCTTTTCCTTTGACTCGGGTCGAACCACGAAACCTAAAATGAGCACGGTACAAACAAACACCTCACCTATTTACAATAGCCTTTCCAATATCGGACGGATGATAGTAAAGATAAGATAATCGAATATAGGTATCCATGTGAGATGTGTTGTCGTTGAGACTCTGACTAAGAAATCTTAAG